AACGATTTATTTTATAAAAATTTCTTCTGTCCGTATTTCGAATTGTCGGCGTTTAGATTTGTCGGTATTATGAGTTGTCGGTATTTTAATTTGTCGGCGTTTTGATTTGTCGGTGTTTTGATTTGTCGGTGTTTTGATTTGTCGGTGTTTTGATTTGTCGGTATTTTGATTGTCGGAATTATAAATTTCGAGATTTTGACTGTCGGCATTACATTATACACCCATCCGAAAATTTAAAAGACATACATGTACATTATAAACGATAGAAAGCACTGAAAAAACTGAAGGTGAAGTTTTGAATTCATTTTATAAGCATATGCCGAAACTAAGGGTATGACACGCCTATATTTTCCCAGAAAACATACGTAAACAAATAATTTCTTATAAATCAAATTCAGTAAAAAAAAAACCAAAACTGATTTACTTACATCTGAGAAAGGATTACAAGATAAAGAGTTGCATATTCAATGTAGTTATAAGAAAAGCCAACTATCGAAATATACTATATATTGACAATGCACTGCATACATTTGCCGAAGTAAATGAAGGTGATATTGCATAAACGTAATCACCATGAAAATTACTTTTTATCAAAAAATGTGAACGAATTGTCGTGCACTTATGTATGTTAAATCACAAAAATCTGCAGAGTTTATTGCAGGATATATTTGAAACATCTACGGCCACATGTCTACATCCTTCGGCAACGACAAGTACATAACTTCAAGGAGGAATATATGAGATTCAAAAAAGCGAAATTTTCTTAACAGCTGACAAATGTATTTGACAGGTTAAGAAAAATCAGACGATAAAAGTAATGTTTATAAAGATGTCCTCAATTTGGAATGAGGTCAATAATTAATGTAGGTATGTAGTTAGCAAAATGGAAATAGATAAGGAAAATAAATATAAGTAGGGAATCTTGTAATAACGTATCTGATAATAAGTTTTTTTTTATTAAAATGAGAAGCCTATATCAGATGAGAGATATGACTGAAGAATACAGGCTTCCAAAAGGAAGTAAACTGCCATTTTAATGTAGTTTAGAGTTTAGAATCTTTCACAGGTCAATTTAGAAGAAAAAATTGACAATGAGATTTTAAAAAACTAAAAAAACTCAGCTACAAGTGATACAATTTATTATTAACCACAGTCATTCAAAGGGCATAACGACATCATTCGCATAGAAAACTCGAAACCGAAAATTAAAAAATATATATATATGCTTTGGATATAAGACATATTTAAAAAAAAATCTTCTTGATTTCATATAGGAAATTGTAATCTTTGTGATGGATCTCATTTTACAAAAAATAGCAATATAAAATGGTTCGTGGGAACAGAACCAATTGAAACATCGGCGGACGACACATCAATAGATAAGAGTGCTTTGAGTTGCAGAGCAATAACACCACATTTAAAGGAAGCTTCAGCTATTTTGACTAATATCACAGACGAAGGTAAAGTACCTATACATATAGGAACATGCCACTAATTTCAATTGAAATTTAAAATTTAATCTTTGTACCTCCACAGAATCTCTTAATAAGGAAGGACCACAAAGAAAAGTGTACCAATATGCGAAATACAGTATTACAAATATGAACCTTAGTACAGGTAAGAGATATTTTTATTGCATATGGAGTCATTAACCGTACTTAATACCTTAGTGTTAAGACCGCAGTCAAAACGCAGTAATAAATATAGTTTAAAAAACTAAAAAACATGCTTTTAAATCACATCAAACTAAAAAGTGAAAATATTATAATATATCTCCAGTGCTACTAATCACATTGTGTCATACTATATAGTATTGGAATGATAAGTTTTATAATTTTTTTTTTTCCATTTCCTGATTTATTGAATCTGATTTTTGTTTTAAAAGCCTAAATTAAATAATAAAATCTTAATTCAATTTTAAAACAAGTAAGGAAGGGCTAAGTTCGGGTGTCACCGAACATTTTATATTCTCGCATGATAAAGTGATAATCGATTTTTATTTTGCTGTAAAATTAATTAGATTAGATCAACTTGTGTACTTTGAGTATTGAATTATATTTTCATTTATTTTAATTGTATTGAAAAGTTATAGTCTGTGTAAAGTTTTATTCCGCTATCATTATTGGTTCCTAATGTATATGTTATACAGAGAAGGCATCAGATGGAATTCAAAATAGCGTTATACTGGAAGAAGGCGTGGTTGTGAACCGGTTTCACCCATATTTCGTACATGTAATCAGGRTGTTAAGAAACTATTATACACCGAATTTCATTGAAATCGGTCGAGTAGTTCCTGAGATATGGTTTTAGTCCATAAGTGGACGACACCACGCCCATTTTAAATTTAAAAAAAGCCTGGATGCAGCTTCCTTCTACCATTTCTTCAGTAAAATTTAGTGCTTATGCCGTTTTTTGTTAGTCGGTTAACGCACTTTTAGTGCTTTTCAACATAATCTTTGTATGGGAGGTGGGCGTTGTTATTATCCGATTTCTACCATTTTTGAACTGAAAATGCCTGAGGGAAACGACTGTATAGAGTTTGGTTTACATAGCTATAGTAGTTTCCGAGATATGTACAAAAAACTTAGTAGGAGCGGGGCCTCGCCCACTTTTCCAAAAAAAATTACGTCCAAATATGCCACTCCCTAATGCGATCCTTTGTGCGAAATTTTACTTTAATATCTTTATTTATGGCTTAGTTATGACACTTTATAGGTTTTCGGTTTTCTACACTTTGTGGGCGTGGCAGTGGGCCGATTTTGCCCATCTTCGAACTTAGCTTTCTTATGGAACCAAGAAATACGTGTATCAAGTTTCATTAGGATATCTCAATTTTTACTCAAGTTACAGCTTGCACGGACGGACGGACGGACAGACAGACATCCGGATTTCAACTCTACTCGTCACCCTAATCACTTTGGTATATATAACCCTATACCTGACTCTTTTAGTTTTAGAACTTACAAACAACCGTTAATTGAACAGGACTATACTCTCCTTAGCAACTTTGTTGCAAGAGTATAACTACACAAACTCAAGCAAGTACCTGAGCTGCTTTTGTGATACGTTGCTCTTTAGTACGCAAGAATTTCTCTTCTTTTAAGGCGTGTTTGATCGCAGGAGTGCATAAAGCATTAGCCAAAGGGTTTGTGTAATCTTGGAGTTTAAATATATTTTTAATTCTATTGTCCTCTATTTCTTTCTTTACCATGGGAACACCAAGATCATTTTGGATATTTTCATTACGCATGTACCATGGTGAACACGTGATTGTTCTAAGCAATTTTGATTGGAACCTTTGTATTATATCAATATTGGTTGCACAGGTCGCACACTACAGTTGAATGCATACATCCAAACCTGTTTTATGACCGCATTATATAAAACAACTTGTTGTCTAGGCTAAGTTTGGAGTTTTTATTTAAAAGCCAATTTAAATTTGCAGCTCTTATCTCCAAGCAAGTAATTTTACTCGCTATGTGTTTTTCCCACGTAAGTGTTCTATCTAGATGAATACTAAGATATTCGCTTGGGTTACTAAAACATTGTTAATTTTTATTGCCGGGCATGGTTTTGGTCTAAGCGAAAATGTAATGCTTACACTTTTGTTCATTCACATTTATGTATACGCTAGTAGGCTAGTCTTATATAAAAGGCCTTCATGCCACCCTTATCAAATGCCTGAGCGACGTATAGAAATATAGCTGAACAGTAACTCTCTGTGCTCAAATGCTTGTCTTATCTCCTTGGTAGCTATGTTTTTCACGAAACCCGAATTGGTGCCACGTTATTATATTATTTTCGTGGTGGAAAGAAGACATATTTGATAGACCTTTTCAAATATTTCAGGTAGAAGCAGTCTATATGGTCGGAATTGCATTGAAGAACAAAGAGAGCACCTCTACAGCAATATTTGGTAACTCAATTAGCATTTTTAGGATAATATTGGCATATCCTGGCGACTTTTTTGGGTTAAGTTCTTTTGTGATTCTAATAATTTCAGAAAGTGAAGTCTTAAAAGACTTGAGTGACTCGTTAGCTGTGTTGGGTAAGCTGGACAGCTTAAAGTTGTTCTTTGGGCCTTTTCTAGGCGATTTGCAAAACAATTAGCCATTACCACTCAATTGGTGGCTTCATGGACTTTTTTCATTTACAAGCCTTTCTATTTCACTATTAGTGATTTTTCTGAAGCCTAGGGACTTTTAATTTTGTTTCGTGTAGCTAAGACAGCTGCATTAGCTATTATATTATATCATTAAGTTCTCTTATGCTTTCGACATTTTCGCCGTATTATTTATATTTTGTCCAGTTGTGTTGTTTACATATCTTTATTAAAACAGAATAATCAGAATATAATTCAGTACATGTATTACAGCAAAATCAATTAAATCAGGTATTTTGTTACGATCAAGGTCAGCTGTATCAAACTATTATAAATACATTGTGCCTCGTTAGCTGTGTTGGGTAAGATTAATTAGTCGTGAGCCCCAATACATGTGTTTTGCATTATGATCTCCACCTGCTAGAAATCTAAGACTCAGTGTTCCAAAAAAGTTTTTAAATTGAATGTATGTAATTATTCCCTGAACAGGTTATATTAAGTTTGTAACGAAGTTTTTAACACCCAGAACGACGCTTCCTTCTATAAAGATCAGTATGTTGAGCTGTCTGTATATATGCGAATTAGTCCCTCAGTTTTTAAGATATCTTTTCGAAATTTTGCAAACGTTGTTTTCCCTTCAAAAAGGGGCTCATTTGTCGGAACTGCCGATATCGGACCACTATTACATATAGCTGCCATACAAACTGAACGATCGGAATCAAGTTCTTGTATGAAAAACTTTCAAATTTTACAATGTATTTTCACAAAATTCGGCACATGTTATTTTCTAAGATATTAATGTAATATACGAAGAAACTATTCAGATCGGCCTACTATAGCATATAGCTGCTATACAAACTAAACGATCGGAATCTAGTGCTGGTATGGAAAGCTTTTGCAGTTGACAAGATATATTCACGAAATTTGGTATAAATTATTTTCTAAGGCAACAATGTAGTCTCCGAAGAAATTGTTCAGATCGGTTAATTATAGCATATAGCTGCCATACAAACTGAATGATCGGAATCAAATGCTTGCATGGGAAACTTCCTCATACAAAGTTTTGTATAAGTTATTGTTAATAGAAGTAATGTAATATCGGAAGAAATTGTTCATATCAGATTACTATATGCCATCCAAACTAAACACATGGTTACTAAAAGAAATTCACTTTGTGAAGGGTGCATTAGCTTCAGTGCAACCGATGTTAATGTTGTTTCTTGTTTTAAATCGAGGTGGACAGTAAATGGAAGTCAGGTTTAAGTCCTTCAGCCATTTTTTATGAATATTGATGTAGCTTGTAACTGCGCTGTAGCATGAGATTCTAATGCGTGGTGATTTAATCGTTTTCTAACCAACATTGCTGTTCCACCATGTGCCTTTCCATCTGTGTGGTTTGTAACATATGTATGTAGAGTCTAAAATCCAGTATAGAGAAATTGTTTTTATTCGTAAGGCGAGTTTCTGACAATAGCATTAAATTAATATTATTTTCATCCAGAAATCTAGTAAGTTCCAATTTATGTTGGTTAGCACCGTTAGCAATCCAATGTTCAATACGCTCACTTTTTACTTAAAAAAGTTTGCAACATTTGGTTCTGTGCTTTGATTATCTATATTATTTAATCATATAGTATTTTGCAGTGTAGATATAAATTATGTCATACATTGGGTAATGTTGAAAATCATAGTTTCAACGCTTCCATTTTGATGGAATGGGTCAATTACGATATACAGTTCAAAAATGGAAGAAATCGGATAATAAATACGCCCACCTCCCATACAAAGGTTATGTTGAAAATCACTAAAAGTGCGTTAACCGACTAACGAAAAACGTCAGAAACACTAAATTTTACGGAAGAAATGTCAGAAGGAAACTGCATCCAGGCTTTTTTAAAAATTGAAAATGGGCGTGGCGTCGCCCACTTATTGACCAAAAACCATATCTCAGGAAGTACTCGACCGATTTCAATGAAATTCGGTATATAAAATTTTTTCTTAATACCCTGATGACATGTACCAAATATGGGTGAAATCGGTTCACAACCACGCCTGAAATCTCGATTATCACTTTACCATGCGAGAGTATAAAATGTTCGGTGACAGCCGAACTTAGCCCTTCCTTACTTGTTTTAATAATACATTTGGATGTGGGATGTAAATCACAAGTTATTGAGCTTGTTATAAAAAAAGACCTCATGAGAAGGAGCGGTGGGCGCCGTCCGCCAGTCCCTTTTGTTGATTGTGTTTGGTGTCCTCGCGCGTGGTGTGAAAGGTGTGGTGTAGATGATGATGCGTTGAGTTGTTATGTGTAGTGTGGGATGAAAAGATGATGGGTTGAGTGTGGTGTGTGTAGTGTGGGATGAAAGGATGATGTGTTGAGTATGGTGTGTATGTGTGGGGTGTAGTGCTATTATTTTAGGAGGGGGTCAGATGCTAATTTAGCCATCCCGGCCCCCCTAGGCGACTGTTTAGCCTAGAAGGCGCTGCAGCTGTTGCAGCGTTGCCACAACGC